TCCTTCTTTCTTTCTTTCTTGTTCTTTTCTCAAGGCTGAGGAGATGGAGGAGGATGAGTCAGAAAGCAGACTCCCCATCTCATTTCTTCTTCTACTCTTGTTGGGTGTCTCTCTTTCATGGTGTCATTTCATCAGGTGTTCTCTCTCTCTCCCTCTGTCCTTCTCCCTCCCCCCCGTTTCACTCTTCTATCTCTCCCTCTCCTTTCTCCCTTTCCTCATCCTCTGTTTTTGTCATACTCCTTCCTCCACTTTTCTTTCTCACCACAATCTTTTTTGCTCAGTTTCTCTCTTTCTTTCCCTGGTTATCTCTGTTCCTTCCTCCCCAGCTGGCTGTAGACTGGCAGAGTCCCTGTGTTACCTCAGCACTACATTACTGTTAAATACTGGGACTCACATCCCTCCCTGCTGCACAGGCATATGTGGCTCTACACACACACACACACACACACACACACACACACACCAACCCGATCGCATAGTTTTACTTCACTTAATTTGATGGAATTGGATGAACGTAGATTTTTGACCCATTAACCCATTAATTCCACGTGGTTACAGGGTTCATTCCGCGTGGTTACAGGGTTCATTCCGCGTGGTTACAGGGTTCATTCCGCGTGGTTACAGGGTTCATTCCGCGTGGTTACAGGGTTCATTCCACGTGGTTACAGGGTTCATTCCACGTGGTTACAGGGTTAAAACAGAAACAATTCAAAGGGTTAAATTTAGGTATTAATACTGAGTGGTTAAGGCTATGGTTTAGGGAAAGCACAGAACTAAATAATTGTAAAAAAAAAAAAGAAATGTGCTGATTCCATTTAGTATCATCAAGTACTCTCCCTGCTTGCTAAAGCATTGTGAACTGCTGTGGCCAGTGGTCTAAGCAGCACTCTGGCTCTGAGTTTGAGCCCAGTGCTGACATATATTGACATCCTCAGGACCGTTTCAAACGTCTGAAATCGACATGTGTTTCTAGTGACCAGCCTGCATACACACACACGCATACGCACACACGCACACACACACACAGGCACACACACACAGCCACAGCCACACACACACACAGGCAGACACACACACAGGCAGACACACACACACAACAGCACAGGCACCACACACACAGGCAGACACACACACAGGCAGACACACAACACACACACAGCCACAGGCACACACACACAGGCAGACACACACACACAGGCAGATCACACACCACACACACGCCACAGGCCACACACACACAGGCAGACACACACACAGGCAGACACACACACACACACACAGCCACAGGCAGCCACACACACAGGCAGACACACACACAGGCAGACACACACACACACACACAGCCACAGGCACACACACACGGCAGACACACACACAGGCAGACACACACATAGGCAGACACACACACAGGCAGACACACACACAGGCAGACACACACATAGGCAGACACACACACAGGCAGACACACACACAGGCAGACACACACACAGGCAGACACACACACAGGCAGCCACACACACACACCTTACCTCCCAGGGCTAGATCAACTGCATCATCGATCATGGCTTTACCGTGTGTGTGATGTTATGATATTGCTCAGATGTTTTTTTCTTTCTTTTGGGATTATGTGTGTATTGTTAATGTATTGCTAGATATTACTGCTCAGTTGGAGCTAGAAACACAAGCATTAGGTATTCTGCCATTTTGGATCTAGGTTAGAGGCGGCAGGGTACCCGGAGGGTAGCGGCGGCAGGGAGTAGGTGGGTAGCGGGGAGGTAGCTAGGTACCCGGCGGCAGGTAGCTAGGGTAGCGGCGGCAGGTAGCTAGGTAGGGGGGCGGCAGGTAGTTGCACTGTTGGAGCTAGAAACACAAGCATTAGGTATTACTGCACTGTTGGATCTAGAAACACAAGCATTAGGTATTACTGCACTGTTGGATCTAGAAACACAAGCATTTAGCTAGGTATTACTGCACTGTTGGAGCTAGAAACACTAGATTTTAGTCATTTAGCAGACGCTCTTATCCAGAGCGTTAGATATTACTGCTCAGTTGGACCTAGAAACACAAGCATTTCATTTGCTAATCTGTGTACGCGACCAATAAAAAATGTTGATGTGATGTGGGTGTGGTCTCTCTCACGTTGTGGAAACAGTATTCTGATGTAGCTGTACAGACAGAGAGAGAGAGAGAGACAGACAGACAGGAAGGCAGACAGACAGACAGGCAGACAGACCTGGGTTCAAATAGTGTTTCCTTGGCCAACTCAATAAAGCATAGTTCAGTTCAGGTGTTTAAAAGAAATCAAATATATTGGAATCCAGGTGTGGTAGCAGTGTATCCACCAGATCAGTCCAGATCCCCGTCCCTCTCTCTCTCCCTGTCAGTGACGACCGACGCTCCAGCCAGGTCGCTTAAGATCCAGGTACCCAGGATGTTGGGAGATTACTTAAAAACCAGCCGCAAGGGGCAACGGTGAGCGCTATTACCGCCCGGGGATGACGGATAGGTGTAATCCGCGAGCTCTGAGGGTCGCATGTTCAATCCCTCTTGTTGTTGTTGTTGTTGTTGTTGTTTGAAACTTATCCCAAATCTTTTTTATTCTGGAATGAATGCCTAAACTTAACCTCGTCATTGGACGAATGTCGGATTCTGAAGTGAGACTGTGAGAGCTCATTGGATGCCCAGGCCAGCTCTGCCCAGCTACAGTAATTATCCCTTTCTTAATTAGATCTGCTAATAAACTCAATGGAGACCAGACACGCACGCACACACTCACCCCTAAAGGGCTGGGTAGAACATTCTCTCTCTCTCTCTCTCTCTCTCTCTCTCTCTCCCCTTCACCCACACATTCTCTCGCTCCCTCCTCTCCTTTCATCCATCCACACCCATAACCCCAGTCATCTCTCTATCTCTCTGAATCTCACTCTAAGCCTTTTAGCTCGCCCAGATTGACTTCACTGGAAACCTTGATGTAATTAGGCAACCGACCCGAATCACAGAAAGTCTGACGTTTCTTTCCTTTCAAATGTTTTGCAATAGACAGAGAGACTATGTCTGTGGGCTACCTATCCCCTCTCCTCCAAGACTCCAGGTACCGTATACAGTGCATTCGGAAAGTATTCAGACCCAATGACTTTTTCCACACATTGTTACGTTACAGCCTTATTCTAAAATGGATTAAATAACAAAACATTCTCAATATACTCACAATACCCCATAATGACAAAGCGAAAACCGTTTTTTTATTTTTTTTGGCAAATGTATTACAAATAAAAAACAGAAATACCTTATTTACATAAGCATTCAGACCCTTTGCCATGAGACTTGAAATTGAGCTCCGGTGCATCCTGTTTCCATTGATCATCCTTGAGATGTTTCTACAACTTGATTGGAGTCCACCTGTGGTAAATTCAATTGATTGGACATGATTTTGGAAAGGCACACACCTGTCTATATAAGGTCCCACAGTTGACAGTGCATGTCAGAGCAAAAACCAAGCCATGAGGTCGAAGGAATTGTCCGTAGAGCTCCGAGACAGGATTGTGTCGAGGCACAGATCTGGGGAAGGGTACCAAAAAATGTCTGCAGCATTGAAGCGTACCAAAAAATGTCTGCAGCATTGAAGGTCCCCAAGAACACAGTGGCCTCCATCATTCCTAAATGAAAGAAATTTGAAACCACCAAGACTCTTCCTAGAGCTGGCCGCCCGGCCAAACTTAGCAATCGGTGGAGAAGAACCTTTGTCAGGGAGGTGACCAAGAACCTGATGGTCACTCTGACAGCGCTCCAGAGTGCCTCTGTGGAGATGGGAGAACCTTCCAGAAGGACAACCATTTCTGCAGCACTCCACCAATCAGGCCTTTATGGTAGTGGCCAGACGGAAGCCACTCCTCAGTAAAAGGCAGATGACAGCCTGCTTGGAGTTTGCCAAAAGGCACCTAAAGGACTAAAACAAGATTCTCTGGTCTGATGAAACCAAGATTGAACTCTTTGGCCTGAATGCCAAGCGTCACGTCTGGAGGAAACCTGGCACCATCCCTACGGTGAAGCATGGTGGTGCAGCATCATATTGTGGGGATGTTTTTCAGCGGCAGGGACTGGGAGACTAGTCAGGATCGAGGGAAAGATTAACGGCGCAAAGTACAGAGAGATCCTTGATGAAAACCTGCTCCAGAGCGCTCAGGACTTCAGACTGGGGGGCAAAGGTTCACCTTCCAACAGGACAACGACCCTAAGCACACAGCCAAGACAATGCAGGAGTGTCTTCGGGACAAGTCTCTGAATGTCCTTGAGTGGCCCAGCCAGAGCCCGGACTTCAACCCGATCTAACATCTCTGGCGAGACCTGAAAATTGCTGTGCATGATGCTCCCCATCCAACCTGACAGAGCTTGAGAGGATCTGCAGAGAACAATGGGAGAAACTCCCCAAATACAGGTGTGCCAAGCTTGTAGCGTCATACCCAAGAAGACTCAAGGCTGTAATCGCTGCCAAAGGTGCGATTTTAATTTGTAAACATTTCTGAAAACAGTTTTTGCCGTTGTCATTATGGGGTATTGTGTGTAGATTGATGAGGGGAAAAAACAATTTAATCCATTTTAGAATAAGGCTGTAACGTAACGAAATGTGGAAAACGTCAAGGGGTCTGAATATTTTCAGAATGTGCTGTATGTATGTACAGTGGGGAAAAAAAGTATTTAGTCAGCCACCAATTGTGCAAGTTCTCCCACTTAAAAAGATGAGAGAGGCCTGTAATTTTTATCATAGGTACACGTCAACTACTATAGACAAATTGAGAAATAAAATCCAGAAAATCACATTGTAGGATTTTTAATGAATTTATTTGCAAATTATGGTGGAAAATAAGTATTTGGTCACCTACAAACAAGCAAGATTTCTGGCTCTCACAGACCTGTAACTTCTTCTTTAAGAGGCTCCTCTGTCCTCCACTCGTTACCTGTATTAATGGCACCTGTTTGAACTTGTTATCAGTATAAAAGACACCTGTTCACAACCTCAAACAGTCACACTCCAAACTCCACTATGGCCAAGACCAAAGAGCTGTCAAAGGACACCAGAAACAAAATTGTAGACCTGCACCAGGCTGGGAAGACTGAATCTGCAATAGGTAAGCAGCTTGGTTTGAAGAAATCAACTGTGGGAGCAATTATTAGGAAGTGGAAGACATACAAGACCACTGATAATCTCCCTCGATCTGGGGCTCCACGCAAGATCTCACCCCGTGGGGTCAAAATGATCACAAGAACGGTGAGCAAAAATCCCAGAACCACACGGGGGGACCTAGTGAATGACCTGCAGAGAGCTGGGACCAAAGTAACAAAGCCTACCATCAGTAACACACTACGCCGCCAGGGACTCAAATCCTGCAGTGCAAGACGTGTCCCCCTGCTTAAGCCAGTACATGTCCAGGCCCGTCTGAAGTTTGCTAGAGTGCATTTGGATGATCCAGAAGAGGATTGGGAGAATGTCATATGGTCAGATGAAACCAAAATATAACTTTTTGGTAAAAACTCAACTCGTCGTATTTGGAGGACAAAGAATGCTGAGTTGCATCCAAAGAACACCATACCTACTGTGAAGCATGGGGGTGGAAACATCATGCTTTGGGGCTGTTTTTCTGCAAAGGGACCAGGACGACTGATCCGTGTAAAGGAAAGAATGAATGGGGTCATGTATCGTGAGATTTTGAGTGAAAACGTCCTTCCATCAGCAAGGGCATTGAATATGAAACGTGGCTGGGTCTTTCAGCATGACAATGATCCCAAACACACCGCCCGGGCAACGAAGGGCTTCATAAGAAGCATTTCAAGGTCCTGGAGTGGCCTAGCCAGTCTCCAGATCTCAACCCCATAGAAAATCTTTGGAGGGAGTTGAAAGTCCGTGTTGCCCAGTGACAGCCCCAAAACATCACTGCTCTAGAGGAGATCTGCATGGAGGAATGGGCCAAAATACCAGCAACAGTGTGTGAAAACCTTGTGAAGACTTACAGAAAACGTTTGACCTGTGTCATTGCCAACAAAGGGTATATAACAAAGTATTGAGAAACTTTTGTTATTGACCAAATACTTATTTTCCACCATAATTTGCAAATAAAATTATTAAAAATCCTACAATGTGATTTTCTGGAGAAAGAAAATCTAATTTTGTCTGTCATAGTTGACGTGTACCTATGATGAAAATTACAGGCCTCTCTCATCTTTTTAAGTGGGAGAACTTGCACAATTGGTGGCTGACTAAATACTTTTTTCCCCCACTGTATATATATTAGTTTACAGTCATTTGTCCAAATAGCCAGTGACACAAAAATGGGGGGGGGGGGGGGGGTTGTCATTAGGGGACTAGATAGAATTGGCTACTATAATTTTGCTGAGAAAATATCTGCCATTTCATCTAAGATGTTCCTAAATGAATGTGTATATCTTAGACGTTAGACTATATGGAATTAGGTAGTATAGTTTTGAAAGGCTGAGAAAATATTTGCTATTTCACCGTATCTATTGTATCTTAGATGTCAGAATTGCTGCTTGGATGTGTCCTCACTATAGAGAGGGGGAGAGAGAGAGAGAGAGGGAGGGAGTGTGTGGGTGGATGGGTTATGGATGCATGCAGGCAGGCAGGGAAAACCACCAATCACAAGCACACAGACCAGGGTATTATTCAGCTGGATACTTGACTTCACACATTAAACAAAACTTACCAACACACACAATCACACACACACACACACACACACACACACACACACACACACACAAACAACCTCATACAATCTTATAATATCCAGTCCCCATAGCGCACCTTGACTTGACGTTGTTCCTTAAAGGATTAGATAGATTTTGAGGATCTTAAACATTATATTATTATGCATCAATCTAAAGCATGGCTTTATTCACATTATCTGCAGGTTCCATCCAGTTGAATTTAAGACTTTTAAATACCTTTTTAAGGCCACTTGAAATGCAATTGAATACCAATTTTGGTATTAAACCTACTAATTTCCCCATATTGTTTCACGCTGTCAACAAAAGAAAACATTTGTAGGCTAATCATCTTCTAATACCATTCACAGTGCTTTAATAAAGAAGTGCAATAGACTACTGAGATGGTATTCAAATAACTTGTTTCAACTAAGCAGAAATGCATGATTGAAGATTGAAGATATTTTGATGTGCACTGCAACCTAATCTAGTGATGTCATGAATTTGACAATTAGGCTATTGTGTTTATACTGTAGTGTTAAACTATGACTCAATATGTTTAATTCAATAGAGATTCATTTGTCTACTTCGGTATCTGCACTAATATCACAAACCAATATATTTGGTGCTAATTCACCAGCTGGGTGAGTGGAAACTCAAAACACATTAGCTAGATCATTACCTCTAAATATAAATGTCACTGGAAATAGCCATGTGTTGAAACAGTAAAGTAATTATTAATGTCCCAAAATGTTTTTGGCTGTCATAGCGTAATACCCAATTAAGGCTGATGTGCTCGCAGAGGCCGATGCGCTCACAATGGCCAAAGCTCATTTAGCGCGCTCCGTATCTCAAATCCATATCAATATCTCTGTTGTAAAATAGACAGCTGAAAAAAAAAAAAAATCCTCCTGCACAAAGCTGAGAACATCTTCTCTTCAACTGTTCAACTGTGACAACAACTTTTTTTTTCTTATAGCTAGAATCAGATCACATTTTGTTTCTACATGAGCGCTGTGAGCAGGGCAGTAAAGATTGGCCGGCTCATTATCACTGCAGCAGGCCCCAGAGAAACAGGCACATGGGCAGGGTAGACACTTTCAGAACAGGATTAATGAAGACAATGCCCTTTACTGTTTGACCATGTCATTTAATAGCTAAATAGTTAACTAGCTATCTAACGAACTCGCTAACTAGCCAAATTACAAGCAATGTTTTGAATTGGCTATCTATTTTGTAGCCTACCTCACTCGCCGTGCTCTCTCATCTGGCATCACGCGCACACACAGAGAGAGTCGTAGGCTACATGTGGAGCGCTTTAGCATCACGCGCACACACAGAGAGTCGTAGGCTACATGTGGAGCGCTTTAGCATCACGCGCACACACAGAGAGAGTCGTAGGCTACATGTGGAGCGCTTTAGCATCACGCGCACACACAGAGAGAGTCGTAGGCTACATGTGGAGCGCTTTAGCATCACGCGCACACACAGAGAGAGTCGTAGGCTACATGTGGAGCGCTTTAGCATCACGCGCACACACAGAGAGTCGTAGGCTACATGTGGGCGGCAGGTAGCTTAGTGGGTAAGAGCGTTGTGCCAGTAACCGAAAGGTCGCTGGTTCTAATCCCCGAGCCAACTAGGTGAAAAATCTGTCGATGTGCCCTTAAGCAAGGCACTTAACCCTAATTGCTTCTGTAAGTCGCTCTGGATAATGACTAAAATGTAAATGTAAAATCTTGAAAATCATAATAATTTGCTGAAACATTTTTTCTTCCGTTTTTGCCGTGGATTGCAATAATTAAGCAGCTGCACAACATAGCAGAAACATTGTAGTCATCTCCGGCCGAAAACTGAATTTAAGACAATTTAAGACATTTTAAGGCCTTTTATTTAGATAAATTAATTTTGTACTTTTTAAGGACCCGTGGAAAACCTGTTTATTGTGTGTCAGTCATAAATCCTGATCCTATAATATGTGTGAAAAGCAGTCAGGTGCAGAAGTCGTGTTCAGGGAACTGTCTTTAGGAACGTTATCTGGCCTGATGCGCTGCGCTGCGCTGCGCTGCGCTGTGCTGTGCTGTGCTGTGCTGTGCTCTCAATGGAAACCACTTAGATGATTCATCTGCTCCACACACACACACACACCACGGGCAGACGCACGCACACACACACACGCACCCACGCACGCACACACACACACACACACGCACGCACGCACGCACGCACACATACATACACACACACACACACACACACACCACGGGCAGACGCACGCACACACGCACGCACGCACACACACATACACACACACACAACCACGGGCAGACGCACGCACGCACTCACGCACACCACACACACCACACACACACCACACACCACACCACGCAACGCCCACGCACGCACGCACACACACACACACACACACACACACACACACCACCACGCCAACCACCACACACCACCAACACACCACGCACTCACCACACACACACCCACACCACAGGGCAACCACGCAACACACCATCGCACGCACACACACATACACACACACACACCACGGGCAGACGCACGCACACACACATACACACACACACACACACACACACACACACCACGGGCAGACGCACACACACATACACACACACACACACACCAACACACACACACCACGGGCAGACGCACACACACACACAGTGCTAATTTCCTAGCAAATATTTGCTTTCAGGGGAAAGGAGGAATAGATAGATTTGATGTGTTTGGAATTTGCCATAACCAAATAGTTTGAAGTCAATCGTTCACCTTTTTTTTGTTGTTTTTTTGGTCTAAAAACAACCCTTGAATGTAACTTTTACACATTACACACCAAGTTGATGTGCTAACTTAACTCTCTCCTATAGACTTGTAATGATCTCCTCGAGCAGTCTGCTTGCTCCAGTGGTGTAAGAGCAGCGATAAAAACAGCTATTACGAACCATAAAGTAGCGATGGCTTCCCCCAACAGAACACAGAAGACAGCCCACACGCCATTCCGCCTTCTAATTCCGCTGAAGTGTTGGTAACTTCTGTCACACTAGCTTGCGATGCCAACGGGGAGAGAAACACACAGAGGTAGGCTGTATCCCAAATGGTACCCTTCTCTCTATACAGTTGAAGTCTGAAGTTTACACACACCTTAGCCAATTACATTTAAACTCAGTTTTTCACAATTCCTGACATTTAATCCTAGTAAAAAATTCCCTGTCTTAGGTCAGTTAGGATCACCACTTTATTTTAAGAATGTGAAATGTCAGAATAATAGTAGAGAGAATGATTTATTTCAGCATTTATTTCTTTCATCACATTCCCAGTGGGTCAGAAGTTTACATACACTCAATTAGTATTTGGTAGCATTGCCTTTAAATTGTTTAACTTGGGTCAAACATTTCGGGTAGCCTTCCACAAGCTTCCCACAATAAGTTGGGTGAATTTGGGCCCATTCCTCCTGACAGAGCTGGTGTAACTGAGTCAGGTTTGTAGGCCAAATGATGTCAATTAGCCTATCAGAAGCTTCTAAAGCCATGACATCCATTTTCTGGAATGTTCCAAGCTGTTTAAAGGCACAGTCAACTTAGTGTATGTAAACTTCTGACCCCACTGGAATTGTGATACAGTGAATTATAAGTGAAATAATCTGTCTGTAAACAATTATTGGAAAAATTACTTGTGTCATGCACAAAGTAGATGTCCTAACCGACTTGCCAAAACTATAGTTTGTTAACAAGACGTGTGGAGTGGTTGAAAAACGAGTTTTAATGACTCCAACCTAAGTGTATGTAAACTTCCGACTTCAACTGTACATCCAACATTCCACAGCAGTTAGACAGCGTAAGAGACACAGCAGTCAGACAGCATAAGAGACACAGCAGTTAGACAGCATAAGAGACACAGCAGTCAGACAGCATAAGAGACACAGCAGTCAGACAGCGTAAGAGACACAGCAGTCAGACAGCATAAGAGACACAGCAGTCAGACAGCATAAGAGACACAGCAGTTAGACAGCATAAGAGACACAGCAGTCAGACAGCATAAGAGACACAGCAGTTAGACAGCATAAGAGACACAGCAGTCAGACAGCATAAGAGACACAGCAGTTAGACAGCATAAGAGACACAGCAGTTAGACAGCATAAGAGACACAGCAGTTAGACAGCATAAGAGACACAGCAGTCAGACAGCATAAGAGACACAGCAGTTAGACAGCATAAGAGACACAGCAGTCAGACAGCATAAGAGACACAGCAGTTAGACAGCATAAGAGACACAGCAGTCAGACAGCATAAGAGACACAGCAGTTAGACAGCATAAGAGACACAGCAGTTAGACAGCATAAGAGACACAGCAGTTAGACAGCATAAGAGACACAGCAGTTAGACTTCAAATGTATATAGTGACCAGGGCCCATAGGGTGTAGTTATCACCATATAATGACTATATATGGAATAGGGTGCCATTTGGGCTGTCAAACAGCAGCAAGGATATAAATCACAAAGATGACCTTTTCTCTTTCCTCCTGTGGTGTAAATACCCTCTCTGTCTACTGTGGTGTAAATACCCTCTCTGTCTACTGTGGTGTAAATACCCTCTCTGTCTACTGTGTGTAAATACCCTCTCTGTCTACTGTGGTGTAAATACCCTCTCTTTCCTCCTGTGGTGTAAATACCCTCTCTGTCTACTGTGTGTAAATACCCTCTCTGTCTACTGTGGTGTAAATACCCTCTCTGTCTACTGTGGTGTAAATACCCACTCTGTCTACTGTGGTGTAAATACCCTCTCTGTCTACTGTGGTGTAAATACCCTCTCTTTCCTCATGTGGTGTAAATACCCTCTCTGTCTATTGTGGTGTAAATACCCTCTCTGTCTATTGTGGTGTAAATACCCTCTCTGTCTACTGTGTGTAAATACCCTCTCTGTCTACTGTGGTGTAAATACCCTCTCTGTCTACTGTGGTGTAAATACCCTCTCTGTCTACTGTGGTGTAAATACCCTCTCTGTCTACTGTGTGTAAATACCCTCTCTGTCTACTGTGGTGTAAATACCCTCTCTGTCTACTGTGGTGTAAATACCCTCTCTGTCTATTGTGGTGTAAATACCCTCTCTGTCTACTGTGGTGTAAATACCCCCTCTGTCTACTGTGGTGTAAATACCCTCTCTGTCTATTGTGGTGTAAATACCCTCTCTGTCTACTGTGTGTAAATACCCCCTCTGTCTACTGTGGTGTAAATACCCTCTCTGTCTACTGTGTGTAAATACCCTCTCTGTCTACTGTGGTGTAAATACCCTCTCTTTCCTCCTGTGGTGTAAATACCCTCTCTGTCTACTGTGGTGTAAATACCCTCTCTGTCTACTGTGGTGTAAATACCCTCTCTGTCTACTGTGGTGTAAATACCCTCTCTGTCTACTGTGGTGTAAATACCCTCTCTGTCTACTGTGGTGTAAATACCCTCTCTGTCTACTGTGGTGTAAATACCCTCTCTTTCCTCCTGTGGTGTAAATACCCTCTCTGTCTACTGTGGTGTAAATACCCTCTCTGTCTACTGTGGTGTAAATACCTTCTCTGTCTACTGTGGTGTAAATACCCTCTCTGTCTACTGTGGTGTAAATACCCTCTCTGTCTACTGTGGTGTAAATACCCTCTCTGTCTACTGTGGTGTAAATACCCTCTCTGTCTACTGTGGTGTAAATACCCTCTCTTTCCTCCTGTGGTGTAAATACCCTCTCTGTCTACTGTGGTGTAAATACCCTCTCTGTCTACTGTGGTGTAAATACCCTCTCTGTCTACTGTGGTGGGGCTGTTCTGTTCTGGTGGAGATTTGCATGGATAGTCTGATCTACATAGGGCCTCTGTGTGCATCCCACATGGCAACCTACTCCCTATAGTGCACTACTTTTGACCAGAGCCCTATGGGCCAGGATCAAAAGTAGTGCACTATATAGTGAGCAGGTTGCCATTTGAGACGCAGTAAAAAGCTGTTTGCTCTCTGCACTGTGGCTGCAGTCTGGTAACGTTAGCAAGTTATAGGATGTGTTTCAGCCGGCTAGGGTGATAAATTCAGCCGGCTAGCTAAATTCTTTTGATTTGGCTAATGCTATGTTAGCGAGGCTGCAAGGCAAGTGGTAAGCTGCTGCTAATTGATGGCTTATGATGGAGCTGTAGAGGGACTGTCGTTTCCCTTAATACATTTTTTTTTTTTTACAGATGAACAGACAAGATGGCGTCTTGAGGACCTTCAGGGGCCCATTGGGGCCCTAAAATGTTATTCTGCCCTTCTATTCTTCAACCTCCCCTCTTCAATATTTTAAAAGTGAAAGCACACACACACACACACAATGGTAGGCACACACACACACACAATGGTAGGCACACACACACACTTAAGTTCATTCCTACATTCCCCTGGGCGGGCCCTGGGGGTGGAAAGGAGAGAGATTGGTGTGTTTGTGTGTGTGTGCGTGCTCTTGAAGGGAGAGACTGGTGCATTGGGGAAAGATTCTCAGTAATTAATTAACTCCCATCAACAGGTGGATATAATACAATATAGTCTGTGTCCCAAATGGCACCCTATTCCCTATATAGTGCACTACTTTTGACCAGGGTCCATTTTCAAAAGTACTGCACTATATTGGGAATATGGTTTCATTTGGGATGCAGACATAATAAGATATAAGCTGCAGAGTGCTGCAGTGTATTAAAGAACAGGATATTAAAGAACAGTGCATTAAAGAGCAGGATATTAAAGAACAGGATATTAAATAACAGGATATTAAAGAAGAGGATATTAAAGAACAGTATATTAAAGAACAGGATATTAAAGAACAGGATATTAAATAACAGGATATTAAATAACAGTGTATTAAAGAGCAGGATATTAAAGAACAGGATATTAAAGAACAGGATATTAAATAACAGTGTATTAAAGAGCAGGATATTAAAGAACAGGATATTAAAGAACAGGATATTAAATAACAGGATATTAAAGAAGAGGATATTAAAGAACAGTATATTAAAGAACAGGATATTAAATAACAGGATATTAAAGAACAGGATATTAAAGAACAGGATATTAAAGAACAGTATATTAAAGAACAGGATATTAAAAGAACAGGATATTAAAGAACAGGATATTAAAGAACAGTGTATTAAAGAACAGTATATTAAAGAACAGTGCATTAAAGAGCAGGATATTAAATAACAGTGCATTAAAGAAGAGTGTATTAAAGAACATGATATTAAATAACAGTGCATTAAAGAACAGTGCATTAAAGAACATGATATTAAGGAATAGGATATTAAAGAACATGATATTAAGGAACAGTGTATTAAAGAACAGTGTTTGTATCTGGGATTTCTGTTCTACTTCCTCTGTCTCCCTCCCCCTCTCTTCATATCCTTTTCTGTCTTCACTCTCTCCTGTTTCCTGTCTCCCTCTGTGTTTCTCTCTTCCTCTTCCTCCTCCCTTTCTCTTTCTCCCTGTTGCCCTCTCTCCCTCATCCTCTTTGCTGCTCCTCCCGCTGGGGAGAATAGGATGATAGGCGAAAGACACTTTCTGTTGCTCATGTAGTAAATGGACAATAAATTCATATTCTCTCCCTCCCTCCCCTCTCTCTCTTTCTCTCTATATCCCTCCCTCTCTCTCTCCCTCTCTCCTCCAGGCACCATAGAGGCGTGTCTGAGCCACCTGTTGAAGCGGCGAGCGGCGGGCTTCCTGCGTAGCGACAAGATCGCCGCCCTTTTCACCAAGATCGGCAAGGTCAACGCCACGGCCGGAGAGGTGTGCCAGAAGGTCCAGGAGCAGCTCACACAGCAGGCAGAGGTCACCAGGTACTGATTGACCCCCTTTATGACCTTTTAACCTTTACCCCTTACACCTGACCTCATAGCACTACCTGCAGAACTACACCAGGAGAAATACGGGAAATCAGTGATGTGGTGTTAAGTGGCAATACATCTATGTTCACCTTTTTTCCTTCCCTGTTTACACACCTTCACTGACACCATGGTAAAACCACACAGTGAAGAGACAGTGTACCACGGTAAAAACCACACAGTGAAGAGACAGTGTACCATGGTAAAACCACACAGTGAAGAGACAGTGTACCACGGTAAAACCACACAGTGAAGAGACAGTGTACCATGGTAAAACCACACAGTGAAGAGACAGTGTACCACGGTAAAACCACACAGTGAAGAGACAGTGTACCACGGTAAAACCACACAGTGAAGAGACAGTGTACCACGGTAAAAACCACACAGGAAGAGGACAGTGTACCACGGTAAAACACACAGTGAAGAGACAGTGTAACCACAGGTAAAAACCACACGTGAAGAGTCAGTGTAACCATGGTAAAACCACACAGTGAAGAGACAGTGTACCACGGTAAAACCACACAGTGAAGAGACAGTGTACCACGGTAAAACCACACAGTGAAGAGACAGTGTACCATGGTAAAACCACACAGTAGGGTATTCACCCATAAAATGATTAATTAATTCAAAGTTTATACAAATAATGTCCAAACCCCATGTCTCTACCATATATGGTTCAAAAGTTACAGACGATTTACTCTAAGAATTTAGCATGTTTAGAGTGAATGGAATGTCATCACGGGCATGATCAAAAAGTGGTCACTGCTCCAGAGAACCCTGTGATGCTGCTCTTCCAATGTCAACTGACAAGCTAACGAGTGGCTGCAGGTTCGTGAGTGAAAACATGGGCTTTTTCTAAATGAAATCCACTGAATACAAAACTAAAATGGGGACTAAATATATATTTATTTAGAAAGCTAACAGACTGAATTTCAATATCCACCCTCCGCGAAGACAATCTGTTCCTGTTTTCATTGTGTATTTCTGAGTCTTTCCCTTTAAATTGCCATAGCAACGGCCCCGCTCAACGTAGATTGATCGCGGTTATAGCCAATGACAGCCAAGGATCTGGAGGTGAACGTGACAAAGGTATCAAGTTTATTTTGATTGGTCCAACCAATCAAACACCTCCAAATGGTACCACCTCCCAACACCAAATATGGAAGAGATACACCCAAGAGCGGTGCAGTCTGAACTAGCAACGGTCACAGCAAATTAACGTTCTTATTTCATCAACACTGTCAAGTACAAGTATATTAAGGTTATAATATTGTAGAGAACAACCTAATGATTGCAAAGAAAACGCTGTTTGGAAATGTATCTTGTAACACGGCACGCTCTTGAATTGCACCGTTTTTTCTCTACATTGTACAGCAGTGAGTGAACGCCCTATACACAGTGAAGAAGACTAACTAAATCAATATTGGGGAGTCTCTTCCTACTCCTATCCAGGTGTGTGTTTACCCAAGCCCAGTGTCGATCTGTGTACACACACACACACTGCGATAAGCGGCTACACATGGAGGAAGAGAGAGGGGGGGACGGAGGGGTGGGGGGTGTAGCAGAGAACACAGACACACTCTCTTTTTCAATTTTTTAATTTTTATTTCACCTTAATGTAACCAGGTAAGCCAGTTGAGAACAAGTTCTCATTTACAACTGCGACCTGGCCAAGATAAAGCAAAGCAGTGCGATAAAAACAACAACACAGAGTTACATATGGGGTAAACAAAACCACAGAAAATATATATACAGTGTGTGCAAATGTATTAAGTTATGGAGGTAAGGCAATAAATAGGCCATAGTGCAAAATAGTTACAATTTCGTATTAACACTGGAATGATAGATGTGCAAAAGATGATGTGCAAATAGAGATACTGGGGTGCAAATGAGCAAAATAAATAACAATATGGGGATGAGGTAGTTGGGTGGGCTAATTTCAGAAAGGCTGTGTACAGGTCCTGTATCTTCTCCTCTCATCTCGTCTCCTAAGGGCTTGTCGCTGTCAGACAGCTGTGAATGTAGAAACAGAATATATAGATTCTATTGTAGATTATTGGAGCGAGTGATGTGGTACCACTAGTGTCCCAAATTAAATGTTGTTTAGTGGTATATAGCTGTATCACACCCCTCTGCCCCATCCAATAACACATCACACTCAATCCCCCCCCGCCCTCTCCTCTCCTCTCCTCTCCCACCGAACCTCTCCTCTCCTCTCCTCTCCCACCGAATCTCTCCTCTCCTCCACCGCATCTCTCATCTCCTCTCCTCCCCCACCTCTCATCCTCCTCTCCTCCTCCCCCACCTCTCCTCTCCTCTCCTCCCCCACCTCTCCTCTCCTCTCCTCCCCCACCGAACCTCTCCTCCCCCACCGAACCTCTCCTCCTCCCCCCACCGCACCGCTCCTCTCCCCCACCGAACCCCTCTCCTCTCCTCCCCCCACTGGCTCCTCTCCCCCTCTCCCCACCTCTCCTCTCCTCTCCTCCCCCACCTCTCCTCTCCTCTCCTCTCCCCCCCCACCTCTCCTCTCCTCCCCCACCTCTCCTCCACCACCTCTCCTCTCCTCTCCTCTCCTCCACCGCACCTCTCCTCCCCACCCCCTCCCTCCCCCACCGCACCCCCTCTCCTCCCCCACCGCACCTCCCTCCCCTCCACCGCATCTCTCCTCTCCCTCTCCTCCCCCACCGCACCTCTCCTCTCCTCTCCTCTCCTCATCCCTCTCCTCTCCTCCCGCATCTCTCCTCTCTTCTCCCCCACCGCACCTCTCCTCTCCTCCCCCACCCACCTCACCTCTCCTCCCCCACCGCATCTCTCCTCTCCTCCCCCACCCCCCTCCTCTCCTCCCCTCCCCGCATCTCTCCTCTCCTTCTCCCCCCCCCATCTTCTCTCCCCCACCGCACCTCACCTCTCCTCCCCCCCCTCACCTCACCTCTCCTCCCCCACCGCACCTCTCCTTCCCACTGCACTTCTCTCCTTCCCTACCCATCCTCCTCCCTTCTCCTTCCCCTCACCCATCCCCCCTCTCCTTCACCACTTCTCCTCTCCTCTCCTCCCCCCACCGCACCTCCCTCCCCTCCACCGCATCTCTCCTCTCCTCTCCTCCCCCACCGCACCTCTCCTCTCCTCTCCTCTCCTACCCTCTCCTCTCCTCCCGCATCTCTCCTCTCCTTCTCCCCCACCGCACCTCTCCTCTCCTCCCCCACCGCACCTCACCTCTCCTCCCCCACCGCATCTCTCCTCTCCTCCCCCACCGCTCCTCTCCTCCCCTCCACCGCATCTCTCCTCTCCTTCTCCCCCACCACATCTTCTCCCCCCACCGCACCTCACCTCTCCTCCCCCCCCCGCACCTCACCTCTCCTCCCCCACCGCACCTCTCCTTCCCCACTGCACTTCTCTCCTTCCCTACCCATCCTCCTCCCTTCTCCTTCCCCTCACCCATCCCCCCTCTCCTTCACCACCTCTCCTCTCCTCTCCTCCCCCACCTCTCCTCTCCTCTCCTCCCCCACCTCTCCTCCACCAACCGAACCTCTCCTCCTCCTCTCCTCCACCGCACCTCTCCTCCCCCCACCGCAACCTCTCCTCCCCCACCACACCTCTCCTCCCCACCTCCCTCCCCCACCGCCACCTCCCTCCCCTCCACCCGCATCTCTCCTCTCCTCCTCCTCCCCCACCTCTCCTCTCCTCTCCTCCCCCACCTCTCCTCTCCTCTCCTCCCCCACCCTCTCCTCCACCACCGAACCTCTCCTCTCCTCTCCTCCACCGCACCTCTCCTCCCCCCCACCGCACCTCTCCTCCCCCACCACACCCTCTCCTCCCCCACCGCACCTCCCTCCCCTCCACCGCATCTCTCCTCTCCTCATCCTCCCCCCACCGCACCTCTCCTCTCCTCTCCTCTCCTACCTCTCCTCTCCTCCCGCAATCTCTCCTCTCCTTCTCTCCCACCCACACCTCTCCTCTCCCTCCCCCACCTGCACCACCTCCCTCCCCACCGCATCGCTCCTCTCCTCCCCCCAACGCTCCTCTCCTCCCCTCCACCGCATCTCTCCTCTCCTTCTCCCCCACCACATCTTTCTCCCCCCCCCGCACCTCACCTCTCCTCCCCCCCCCGCACCTCACCTCTCCTCCCCCACCGCACCTCTCCTTCCCCACTGCACTTCTCTCTTCCCTACCCATCCTCCTCCCTTCTCCTTCCCCTCACCCAGTCCCCCCTCTCCTTCAGCCACCTCTCCTCTCCTCCTCCTCCCCCACCTCTCCTCTCCTCTCTCCCCCACCTCTCCTCCACCACCGAACCTCTCCTCTCCTCTCCTCCACCGTACCTCTCCTCCCCACCGCACCTCTCCTCCCCCCACCACACCTCTCCTCCCCCACCGCACCTCTCCTCCCCCACCGCAACCTCTCCTCCCCCACCGCACTACCTCCCCTCCACCCGCATCTCTCCTCTCCTCCCTCTCCCCCCACCGCACCCTCCTCTCCTCTCCTCCTCCTACCTCTCCTCTCCTCCCGCATCTCTCCTCTCCTTCTCCCCCACCACACCTCTCCTCTCCTCCCCCACCGCACCTCACCTCTCCTCCCCCACCGCATCTCTCCTCTCCTCCCCCACAGCTCCTCTCCTCCCCTCCACCGCATCTCTCCTCTCCTTCTCCCCCCACCACATCTTCTCCCCCAACGCACCTCATCCTCCCCCCCCGCACCTCACCTCTCCTCCCCCAACCGCACCTCTCCTTCCCCACTGCACTTCTCTCCTTCCCTACCCATCCTCCTCCCTTCTCCTTCCCCTCACCCATCCCCCCCTCTCCTTCACCACTTCTCCTCTCCTCTCCTTCCCCTCACCCATCCTCCCCTCTCCTCTCCTGTCCTTCCCCACCTCTCCTCCCCCCCCTCTCCTCTCCTTCCTCTCACCCATCCTCAGGACTCCATTACTCGGTTACTCCCGTTGCCATGGCGACATCATCATTGTACCATGACCATCATCGCCGGCGAGAGAGAGAAAAAGAGAGAGGAGGAGAGAGAGGTGGGAGAGAGAGGAATGTGAGAAGAACAGAGAGATGAGAGAGGAGAAAAGAGAGAGAGAGAATTGTATTTTATTTAGGTATTTTATTTGGCCCAAATACTTACTTTATTTCATTTTAACAAACTAGAAAGTTAAAACCAAGAACATAGAACCCCCCTGACGCCCCACACCCCTACAAAGTCCTCCAGACAGATCACCAGCCCCCCATATACATGCTCCAGTGTTAGCCGAGCCCGCACCAGCAACACAGCTCTGGGGCCCTACATCCCCCCCTGGTCTTCCATGTTAACATGTTTACCTGCCCCACCAGGTACAGTGAGGAAAAAAAGTATTTGATCCCCTGCTGATTTTGTACGTTTGCCCACTGACAAAGACATGATCAGTCTATAATTTTAATGGTAGGTTTATTTTAACAGTGAGAGACAGAATAACAACAAAAAAATCCAGAAAAACGCATGTCAAAAATGTTATAAATTGATTTGCACTTTATGGAAGAAGTCTTCGCCATGTCGCTGGCAGATTTCCACCCCGACTCTTCTTGCAGGTGAACTTAGTGAACCCCGCTCTCACAAGCCTGGCCCGCAAGCTGGCAGAGGTCAGCACTCTGGTCTGGATGCGATAGAACGGCACAGCGCGATAGAACGCACAGCGCGATAGAACGGAGTAATGGCTGACATATCGACCTGCTCCAGATCCAACAGGAACAAGTGCCTGTCATACCCAAGGCCCTCTGCTCTCCTCAGAACAGCCCAATCCGTGTCTCTCTCCAGCCCTCTGCTCTCCTCAGAACAGCCCAATCAGTGTCTCTCTCCAGCACACCCCCTGCTGGTACAGAAGTCTCTGTGCAGCTTGTAAACAGAAACCTGTTACTCTGGATCCAATGTCCACCAGCCCTTGGCCCCCCTCATGCAAAGGGAGGTGTAACACTGCTGCGCGTGTCCAGTGTTGGTAAGACCAAAATAAATCCACCAGTAACCTCTGCGGTTGCTTGACAAGACTCTGTGGGGGATCCACCACCATCAGCCTGTTCCAGAGCATTGTAGTGGCCAAGTTGTTAGCGACCAGGACCCTTCCCCTGAAAGACATCAGTGGCAACAACCACCGCCCTTTAGACAACTTAGCCCCAACCCAATCCTCCAGCCCCTCCCAGTTTTTCCTCCTGAAACTCTGAGGTCCCCAAGAACACCCCTAAGAACGTCACCCCTACTCTGGCCCACTGTAGCCCTCCAGGAAGACAAGGAGATTCTGTTCTGACCCATCTCCCCATTATCAGACCCTCACTATTCTCCCAGTTCACCTTAGCTGATGCCGCCCCCTCAAACAACACTAAAGCCCTGCTAACCTCTTCTACCTCTCCCCCCCCTCAAACAACACTAAAGCCCTGCTAACCTCTTCTACCTCTCCCCCCCTCAAACAACACTAAAGCCCTGCTAACCTCTTCTACCTCTCCCCCCCCTCAAACAACACTAAAGCCCTGCTAACCTCTTCTACCTCTCCCCCCCCTCAACAACACTAAGCCCTGCTAAACCTCTTCTACATCTCCCCCCCTCAAACAACCACTAAAGCCCTGCTAACCTCTTCTACCTCCCCCCCCCCCTCAAACAACACTAAAGCCCTGCTAACCTCATCTACCTCTCCCCCCCTCAAACAACACTAAAGCCCTGCTAACCCCTTCTACATCTCCCCCCCCTCAAACAACACTAAAGCCCTGCTAACCCCTTCTACATCTCCCCCCTCAAACCAACACTAAAAGCCCTGCTAACCTCTTCTACCTCTCCCCCCCTCAAAACAACACTAAAGCCCTGCAACCTCTTCTCCCTCTCCCCCCCCCTCAAACAACACTGAAAGCCCTGCTAAACCTCTTCTACAATCTCCCCCCCTCAAACAACGGCTAAAGCCCTGCTAACCTCTTTCTAACCTCTTCTACCTCTCCCCCCCCCCCCCTAAATACAACAACACTAAGCCCCCCGCTAACCTCATCTCCTCTCCCCCCCTCAACAACACTAAAGCCCCTGCAACCCCTTTTACATCTCCCCCCCCTCAAACAACATAAAGCCCTGCTAAACCCCTTCTACATCTCCCCCCTCAAACAACACTAAAGCCCTGCTAACCTCTTCTACATCTCCCCCCCTCAAACAACACTAAAGCCCCTGCTAACCTCTTCTACCATCTCCCCCCCTCAAACACACACTAAAGCCCTGCTAACCCCTTTACATCTCCCCCCTCAAACAACACTAAAGCCCCTGCTACCTCTTCTACCTCTCCCCCCTCAACAACACTAAAGCCCTGCTAACTCTTCTACCTCTCCCCCCCTCAAACAACACTAAAGACCTGCTAACCTCATCTACCTCCCCCCCTCAAACAACACTAAAGCCCCCCCGCTAACCTCATCTACCTCTCCCCCCCCCTCAAACAACACTAAAGCCCTGCTAACCTCTTCTACCTCTCCCCCCCCCCTCAAAAACACTAAAGCCCTGCTAACCTCTTCTACCTCTCCCCCCTCAAACAACACTAAAGCCCTGCTAACCTCTTCTACCTCTCCCCCCCCTCAAACAATGACTAAAGCCCTGATAACCTCTTCTACCTCTCCCCCCCCTCAAACAACACTAAAAGCCCTGCTAACCTCTTCTACATCTCCCCCCCCTCAAACAACACTAAGCCCTGCTAACCTCTCTACCTCTCCACCCCCCCCAGCCCCCCCCCTCAAACAACACTAAAGCCCTGCTAACCTCTTCTACAATCCCCCCCCCCTCAAACAACACTAAAGCCCCTGCTAACACTCTCCTACCTCTCCCCCCCCTCAAACAACACTAAAGCCCTGTGCTAACCCTCTTCTACCCTCCCCCCCCCTCAAACAACACTAAAAGCCC